CAGTAACTAATGAAATAATATGATGTTCAGTAACTAATGAAATAATAAGATGTTCTGTAACTAATGAAATAATATGATGTTCAGTAACTAATAATGAAATAATATGATGTTCAGTAACTCACAATGAAATAATATGATGTGCATCCTGATGCATGCTCAATAATCCAGGTAGAAAAATCTAAAAAAGTTCAATCTGGTCCTCTGGACATTCAAAAAAACAAAACAAAGCAAAACAACAAAAACATGTAGAAACGTTTTGTCTCTCATCCTGAGGACTTCCTCAGTCTGAGGAGCTGTTTTCAGCTCAGTCTCTTAAATAGCACCTTCTCAGAGTGGATCAACCAGTTTTGCTGCTGACAACCAGAACCAGCTGATCACATGCTCAAGAAGGACCATCAGCCTAACAATGGATCATTAGCACACTGATGGCTGTTTACTGTTCACAGAGGGCTGAGTGATACTAGCAATCACAGCATTGTAAGAGGGGGACAGTTGAACCTGGAGGCTCCACCCCTGTTTAATGATGGACGGTTTCTTTTCACAAAGATGGCCTCCTTTACTCCTCTCTCAAACCATCGTTCCTCTCTGTCCAGGATGTGAACATCTTCATCCCTGAAAGAGTGACCGCTGGCCTGGAGATGAGTGTAGACCGCAGAGTCCTGGCCTGATGATGTTGATCTTCTGTGCTGGGCCATCCTTTTGGCCAGTGGCTGTTTTGTTTCCCCGATGTAAGACTGATCACCCTCCTGACACTGAACAACATACACAACATTACTCTGTTTGTGCCGGGGGACTGGATCTTTGGGATGAACCAGTCTTTAATGTATTTTGGGGTTTAAAAGCCACTGGGACGTTATGTTTAGAAAATAAACGTCTCAGTTTCTCTGATACTCCCTCAACATATGGAATGACCACTGGTCTGGTCTGGGTTCCTCCTTTTCACCTGATGGCTGACTGGAGTCCTGTTTGGGTTTCTTCTCTGCTTTCAGGAAGGCCCAGTTAGGATATCCACATTGCTCTAGAGCCTGTTTTGTGTAGGATTTCTCCTTCTGCCTGGCTCCTGAGTTAGTGGGGACGCTGTCTGCTCTGTGGTACAGAGTCCTGATGACTCCTAACTTGTGCTCCAAAGGGTGATGGGAGTCAAACTGCAAATACTGGTCTGTGTGGGTGGGTTTGCAGTACACCTCAGTTTGTAAATGTCCTCTATCAGAGACTGAGACCTCACAGTCCAAGAAAGCCAACTTGCCGTTTTTTACATCTTCTCGTGTGAACTTGATGTATTTATCCACAGAGTTGATGTGGTCAGTAAAATGTTGGACTTCCTGAGATTTGATTTTAACCCAGGTGTCGTCAACATACCTGAACCAATGACTTGGTGGTGTCCCTGAAAAGGACGTCAAGGCCCAGTTTGGACTTTACATGTTCTCCTCATGTTTTGGGGTTTTCCTCCCACCGTCCAAAATCATGAATGTTTCAGCTGCTTTGAATAAAATAAAGTTAATTAAAACAAAAATAAAAGTCCGTTAAGGTTTCTGTGGACTCTCGTTGGTCCTGCAGGTAGTGTTGTAGTACTCGAGACCGGTCTTGGTCTCGAGACCGGTCTCGAGACCACTTTTTGACGGTCTCGGTCTCGTCTCGGTCTCGACCGCATTTGGTCTCGGTCTTGTCACGGTCTCGGACATTGAGGACTCGGGATTTTTTTTCAAGACCAGTCAAGACCACAACTGTGAAAATATCACTAAATTGCCAGAATATTGTCCAGTTTATTTGTTAACATCTTTGCTTTTACTGGATGCAAAACATACCGATTCAAATTCAAGCGATAACGTGACTCATAGCAGCTAGCTACATGTTTTTGTTACCACTCCAGTGTTGCCAGATTGGGTGGTTTACTGCCAATTGACCAGTTTTCGTTCTGATTTTGCTGGGAACTCTGGGAAGATTTTTGTTGGACTGTTCCGTTTTGCCACATATTGTTAAATTACCTTGGCTTGTACTGATGTGGGTTTGTGTTCAAAAAGTAAATATACTGTAACAAATATAGATTGTACAGGTTTTTGTGTGATGTTGCGGTTTTTAACCGATTTTTTGCTGGAAAATCTCGACTCTATCTGGCAACACCGAGCCCACCTCCTTTCACTCGCAAGCGTCAGGGAAGAAAAGTTAGACTTGTTTGTGTTTAGAACAAGAGAAGATGTCTTCTAAATCTGCTGTTATAAAGTTTGGCTATTTGAGTCACGAAGAGTATGTTTCTGTCGGGACTACATCCAACTTTTATCGACACCTGGAAAGGAAGCACAAAGAAAGGTAAGCGCCGCAGCTTTGTGTAAGTGATGCTAGTAAAGCTAGCTAGTTAACGTTATCAATCTGCCTCTCTTCCAAGAACAATACAAACAGAACGTTTTATCAAGTATGGTTTATTTGTCATATGCAAAATCAACACAAGGTCGACAACAATGCAGTGAATTGCTTAGGACGAGAAAAACAGTCTTGACTCGCCAAAAACAAACAAAAAAATAACAACAACAAATACCAAAGCATGCATCACAAATACTAAAATAAGGGACAAAAAGTTGAAAAAGTAATTCATCGACATTAAATCTAAATACATCTAAATTAATTAATGTGTGTCAGACTCAGACCCGCTTTGTTTAGCCCTTAAATGAGTTTTACTTTATAACACTGATATAATTAACATATTAAGGGAAGTAAGCAAATTCACTGTTTACATACAGTTAAATCAGGTCCTCTGAGTGTGTGTTAAAAGAAAAAAAGTAGAATATTATCTGCACAGCTTTTTTCTACCTTTTTTTTCTTTTAACACTCCCAGAGGACCTGATTTAACTTTTTTAAATTTTTCTACCTGGGTTATTGAGCATGCATAAGGACAAATTCACTGTTAACTTTGAGAGACTGAGGGGACAGGGCATGTGGTAACAAAATGTAGAAACGTTTCATCTTTCATCCAAAAGACTACTTGACTTCTTAACAAAAGACTTCATTGTAAGAGGGACTGTCTTCTTCTTACATCGCTGATATTGCTAGTATCACTCAGCCCCCTGTGAATAGCAAGCAACCATCAGGGTGCCAACGATTCATTGTTAGGCTGATGGTCTCCCTTAGCATATTTGGCAAACTGGTTGATCCACTGTGAGAAGGTGCTAACTGTGTTTAATATGTCCTGATGCATGCTCAATCACACAGGTAGAAAAATCTTAAAAAGTTAAATCAGGTCCTCTGGGCGTGTTAAAAAAGTAAAAATAAAAGGTAGAAACATTTCGTCTTTCGTCCGAAAGACTTCCTCAGGCTGAGGAGCTGCATTCAGCTCAGCCCTATAAATAGTGCCTCCTCACAGTGGACCAACCGTTTGTTGTTGATGAAACCAGCTGCTCACATGTTCAAGGAGGACCATCAGCCTAATGATGGATTGTTAGTACCCTGATGGCTGCTTGCCTTCACCGGGGGCTGAGTGATACTAGCAATCACAGCATTGTAAGAGGGGGACAATTGAACCCGGAGACTCCACCCCTGTTTAATGATGGATGGTTTCTTTTCACAAAGATGGCCTCCTTTACTCCTCTCTCAAACCATCGTTCCTCTCTGTCCAGGATGTGAACATCTTCATCCCTGAAAGAGTGACCGCTGGTCTGGAGATGAGTGTAAACCGCAGAGTCCTGGCCTGATGATGTTGATCTTGAGTTTAATATAGCTCCTCATATTGAAGAAGTCTTTTGGATGAAAGACAAAACATTTGTATAATTTTTTATTGTTTAAACCCATCCAGAGGACCCAATTTAACTTTGTTAGATTTTTCTAAGTTTAATTTTTGCTTATGATAAACAATGGAGGATATATTTGACATACATTTATGAAGTTGCTACTTATTTTTAAGTGTTCTTTTGATGTAATTGATGTTCATGACCAGATATACTGATTCCTCCTTTGCATTTTTTAGGTTCCTGGAATACAAGGCAGGGCAACAGAATGATGTCACAGTCACACAGCCATCAATTTCATTATTTACGCAGAAAGTGCAGCTCTACAGCCCACAATCACCAAGGCAACAAGCCATCAGTCAAGCCATTGTCCAAGATTTGATCAGTGGGTGTTGTCTGCCTCTCTCACGTGTGGAAAACAGTCATTTTAAACACTTTCTTGAAGTTATGGATAGTAAATACACACCAATCTCTAGAAAAACGGTTTCTGATAGACAAATTCCAGAGTTGGTAATCAAGGTCAAGGAAACTGTTTTGGAGAAACTGAAGACCCAGTCATCTGTGTCATTAACAACTGACCTCTGGTCTGATCGCAGGCTACGCTCCTTCCTTGGGGTGACCGCCCACGTGTGCTACAAATCAAAGGATTCCTATGCACTTGAATCCTACCTGCTGGACTGTAGGCGTTTCACAGGCAGACATACTGGAGAGCACATTGCGTCTGCCTTTG